GGAGTGAGGAAGCAGACAGGCACCCTTTTCACTGGCCAACAGTTAACTGAAAGTTCACTTTTTGCACTTTCCCTGCCTCCCACGTGGGTTTTTTTCAGTTCTTAACTCAAATCTAAGTACTTAAGTCAAGTCAATATTTTCCTATGAGAGTGGTTCTTAAGTCAAAATGTTCTTAACTCAAGCCGTTCTTAAGTCAAGACCCCACTGTATTGCATTTTTTGAAATAATTTATAGGCATGCTGCCCTGTTATGACAGCAATAGTTTAGGCTGCTTTGTAAAAGAAATCATATGTTGCCAAAATTGTAAATGTATGCAACAGGAAAAGGTATATAAATATATAAGGAATTTTTAACATTAATAGTGATACATTATAAAGTTTGAATAAATAAATGATCTGATCACAAATGTCTGTCATCTCATCTTGTTGAACTTTGATGTTGTTGTTGTGTTTCTTGATACAGGGAAGAAAAGGATCCCCTGGTTCCAATGGTGTTCCTGGGCAGCATGGATTTAAAGGTCCACAGGTCAACATTTAAAGTGTTCACGTTTATTTTTGAGAGAAACTGGATTTCATATGTAGAGCTTCCACAGATACAACAGGGTTGCTTCTTCAGACAAATCACTTTCACATGAGGAAAACAGTGATTATCAGGGACAAGTCTAATGCATTCCCTTACTTACACATGGAACACACACATTTTATTAATACGTTTACTTTATGGTTTATTTGGACTCACTTTTCTGTTTTCTGATGTATGGTTCTAGGGTGAAAGAGGAATTCGAGGGAGGAAAGGAATTAGAGGCGATGAAGGAAACAAAGGATTTCCAGTATGTAACTATATAACGCAAATTTTATTTTCTTCTTTCCCATACTCACTATGTTGCTTTATCAGTGCACAAATTGCCACACGGCTTTTACCATTACTTAGGTATTAGATCTTGTTTTCATACATCCAAGTGCTTCTTAATTTGATCGCTTCACCATCCTGCATGGAATACAGAGCTCTCTTGCAGCCCTCCAAAGTCGTTCAAGAATGGGGGCTCCTCAAGGTAGCATCCTATGAAGTAACAGACAAAGGGAGAAAAAGCAAGCATGGTGAGACAGCTGTCTCTGGATCCCAGTCCTTGTGATTTACATCACTTTCAATGGGAACAATTACTGTTGTCTCATGCATAATTTGGAAGTAACTCATTACAGATAAGCAGTTATTTTTAATTTCTCAATAACTATGATTAGAAATGGGGGTATTTGTATTGGTATATGAATACAAATTTCCCCGCACAAGTGGAAATAATGAGGGTTTTCGCTCACTATTTCACCACTGCTGCCGGCTCCGTGGAAGGTTCCGATCGCACTGTTCTTAACAATGGATTAGCCACTCTCCGACCTAGCAAAGAGGCTTGTCATCCCGCCTCCTGCCAGGACTGGGTAATCGATGGTGGACAATGGCATGATAGGAAGCTTCCACGGTGCCAGCAGCAATGCCGAAATTGTGAGTGGACTGTCCGGCCCCATGGGGCCAGACCCTCGTTATTTCCACCTGTGTGGGGATATTCATATTTGTATAGAAATACGAATACCCCCATCTCTAACTATGATGTAGGCACATTAAGATTAACAAACAATTATTGTGATTAACCTTATTCCCTTTTCGCAATGTATCTCTGTGACAATCCACGTGGCCCCCTGGTTGTTTCACCAAACAAAAGATGCTCACATTATGCCCTCCCACCAGCAGATATCAATTGAGACGTTCCTTCTTTTTCTCACTGACTCCTGTGTGGTGGGCTGAAGTGAATTATCCTGCAAACCAGACTTCCAGGATGTGACTTCACAGTGGATATATTTGCATTTTTCCTGTTGTGCAGTTGCATCCTAACAGAACTTTGATATATAATTTTTTTTCCTAATAAATATCTACTTTGTATAGTACTACAGAGCTTTGCTTTTCTCCTTGTTCTGTTTCAGGGTCATCCAGGAGTGACAGGTACAAAAGGCATTCCTGGAAGATGGGGAACCCAAGGGAATAAGGTGTGTCTTAAAATCCTAAAAATTCATTTCAGTTTGATTTATCAAAATCAGGTGAAAGCTATATGACTCACTCAAGTTCAGATGATAATAATAATAATAAGGCTGCAAATGATGATGAGTCAGAATATAGGCACAATTGCTTCTCCAAATTTATGGGTAAGGCTTCACTAACAGCAGGGAACAAACTAATATGGCTTGCTTTGGAACATTCAGACTTGATTAGAATAATCTAATCAATCCTGACTATTCATATGGCAATGGCTCCTGCCAATATCGTGAAGTGGATTAAGAAATGAGCCAGTTCAAGTCACTGGCAAATTATTCACTTCTCCTGCTCGGAAGAGGGCAGAAGTAATTTTTTTTTTACTGTATATATACTACTGATGCAGCACATTTGTTATCAAAAACTTTAAAAATCTTTTCTTTGCCTTCTCTTAAAGGGCCAATCAAGAAACTGCCTGCAGCCAAAGCTACTACCATAGATTCAACTGCAAGCAGTTTCTTGACCAGCCTTTTAAGGAGAAGCCAAGAAAAAAAATCTCTTTTTTTAAATAACTGGAGTAGCACATCAGCAAGAGTCTCTATACAGTAAAAAAAAAATGTTTTCACTTCCTCTTCTGAGCAGGGGACTAATTTGCCAGTATTCCAAAGTGCTTTACTTATTAAGCCTCTTCATAATATTGACAAATTGAAAAAGGAAGGCTAGTTTGGATTTATTCCAATTATCACATATTCTGAAACTTATCTAAACCAGAGTGAGCCTACCGACATCAGAAAAATAGAAGCCCCTTGACAGGAGCCAGAAAAACGCAGGTAGGGATGCTCGGGGGCACTCTCGTAAAGATTTCATCTGACTGCTGCCTTTAAGAGTGCACTAGCCCACTGGTTCTTAACCTTGGGTTACTCAGGAGTTTTGGACTGCAACTCCCAGAAGCCTTCACCACCAGCTGTCCTGACTGGGGTTTCTGGGAGTTGCAGTTCAAAAGCATCCGAGTAACAAAGGTTAAGAACCACTGCACTAGCCTGTGGTTCTCTAAGCCAGAGCTCGTCAGCCCCCGGTCTGCGGCCTGGTGCCGGTCCGTGGCCTGAGCTGGACCCGGCTGCGAAGACAGACCTCCCGCCCCCACACGTACTCCCCTCCCCACAGCTGCTTTGCTCACGTGCATACGTGCCAATGCAGGCATGAGTGCTCTCCCACCCCTCTGCACATACACCCGAGTGCCTGAGCGTCCACACAAAGGAGTGGGCGCATGGGCAGGAGGGGGTGCAGGTGCCCCTGCGCATGCGTGAAGGTATGGGGGAGCGCTCATACCAGCACTGGTGGGCGGGCAGGTGCTCCCCCACCACTTCGCGCATGTACCCAAGTGCCTGAGCGCCCGTGCAAGGGGTTCATGGGCGGGTGGGCGTGCAGGCACCCCTGCGCATGCGCAAAAGGGTGGGGGAGCACTCACACCAGCGCTGGCAGGCAGACACTCCCTCACTGCTTCGCACATGCACCCAAGAGAGCACACCCACCCACCCATACCTGTGAAGGGTCCTGCCTTTCTCAGAGGCTCAGCCGGTCCGCGGTCCCAAAAAAGTTAGGGACCGCTGTTCTAAACAGCAGGTAAACAGTGGACCTGTGTAGTCAAGGTCTATCTTTCGTTATAAAAACTAATACACATGATTTGGGGGTGGGCAATTTTATATTTAATAGATCCAGGCAAATCTGCAATGGATGATCACAGCTTCTCAGATTCATGTACACATTCGATTCTGCTGTTGTTCAAATTGTGTGACAGTGTTCACAGCTCACTAAAATAAATTAAAACTTAAATTAAATAAGCACATCTCAATGTTTCTAAACATGTTTATTTTGGCATAAAATTCATTTAGAAATGTGTCCTTTGAGAGATTGCTCGAACTGCTGCTGAGCTGAACTTCAACAGCGTTTGAGAGATTGCTCGAACTGCTGCTGAGCCGAACTTCAACTCACCTTTGCCTCCATCCCCAGATAGCACAAGATTTCAACTTACAAGAACAATGTAGGAGGAGAGGGGGGGAATGCCAGGTTATTTAAGAGGCGTTCCCCCTCTACTCGTCCTCTTCTGGCACCCACCCTTTATTCTAGTGTGAGTTTATCTGGTCACCTATGGGGCTAGATAGGAATTTTTGACCCATATCCTGATTGGCATTTGGATGCAGGGAATTTTCACCTATCCCACACTGTTACAGGTGCACTGGCATGTTTACAGGTAGAAAATTGGTCACACTGGTGGGTAGTGCAGATATAACAAGTTTTGTTGGTGAGTCCCATTGCAAAATCAGGTAAGCTATAGCCCATCTGACCTCCCCGCGCTGCAGATCATGCAATTACAGTGCTTGGGAGGGAAAGATGTGCTAGGGCCAGAACCTGGACCAACAGTCAACAAGGAGAAGCTGGCTTGAGGTCTGGGGGTAGTCAAATTGGGGCCGGCCGCGTTCTCGCAGTCTTTAAGACCGCAAGAACTTGGGGGCAGGGACTTGCCTATTTGTTGCTTAAGGGGTCCTTTGAGACTTCTGTGCTTAAACCTGATTCCTCACTACAGCAGGACCCCCCTTTGCCAAAGGATGGCAACATGGATTATGTTTAATAAAGGGTGGCCCATGATTAACCCATAGTTCTTGTCTCGTGTCTTCATTCCGGGGTTGGGAAAGCAAACATCCATGCAGATGTTTTAAAAAGAGAGTTCATAGATAAATGTGGAATAAGGATGGAACAAATTTATGAATGAGCACATGTGAAACTGAGTGGACTGGAAATGGAGGGAGCCCAAAATAGTATTCCACTTGAAATAGTGCTCCCAGGGGAGTATTTGCCATTGTGACACAATACTGTATGCTACTGCCGATGGGGCAATATATTTTTTGGGGGGGTGGTCTTTCGTGGAGGAGGGTTCTTTGCCCCGCCTCCTTTGGGTGCTGCCTTTCAGGGGATGCCCACTGGAGAAGGCAAGGCTGGGAACTGTCAAACCCTTGTTTGACTCAAAAATGAACCAGCACAAACCACTGAAGTAGGAGTTTGCGCCCATCTCTAGTCTTATGTTCATTCAAATGTGGAAAGAAGTAAAATAATACCTCTCCTTTTCACAAACAGATTTTTTTTGTTTTGCATTATAGATCTCATTTGTTATGATTGTACCTCATATTCCCCCAGTTTCAAACATACATGTAATCTATTATTACTTACATAGCATTATTGAAACACTAATATTACTTGGAATGCCAATATTAGTGCCACTATATATTAATTTCACAGGGAGAGGTCGGTGATCCTGGATTGAAAGGGGAAAGTGGACTACCTGGACTCTGGGGATTCAGGGTTTGTATTTTATTTTATTCTGTTTATTTTTGCATTCCAGTTTTGAGCTTGTTCATCTTTCTTCAGTACATCTAGGAAATTGTAGACTCTGGGATTTTCTCCCAGCAGCTTAATAGCTTTTTGGCTACTCAAATGCTAGACTGCTTTTTCGACAAAACCTCTGGGACACAGAACTACAAAAGCACTTAAGCTCTGCCACTAAATATTGTTTTCCAAGCCACAAAACATTTATGCCTTTTGGCTACCTTGTTAATTTAATATTTCCCAAGATGAGGAAAACTTTTGCTTTAGCCTGATTTAATGTCTTACCTTCTGTGCTCCTGGAGGGAGATATTGTAATATTGCCCTGTCAAAAATGTGTGTGCCCCTGTGAAAATAGGATCAGAGAAACGATCAGTCTTGTTCTACTATATTCTCCCTTTCTTCTGTCCTTCACTGTAATTTTCTTCTACTTATTCTCCAAAAATACCCAGATCAGAGAAATTCTGTTTCATTTTTTTTTTCTGATAAGAACCCCTGAATTACCGATAAAGCAGCCAGATTTTGTGTGGCTGCTAGAGTCTGTCAGAATTATTTGCCAAGACACGGAATTCTAATTCTGGCTACTAGCAATGCAACTTTATGTACATTATGCATATTGTGTGGTACATCATTGTGGCGTTTTCCCTCGTGGCCCCTGCTTGTTTTCCTAAACACAGAGCTCACAAGGTACCTCAGCATGCCCTCTGATATGCTGCCACCAGTTGATCTCTTTTATCAACTTTGTTTACTTAGAAAAGATAAAGGTCTATCCAGTACTGACGTTTCAACAGAACTAGTTTACTAATTACAGATGGTTTCTGGAATACGGTAATTCGTAAGCACATTCTTCAAGATTCATCATTCATCAATATTAACCTATCGCTTAATTATCACAGGTTGCACTCTAACTAATCACTCCTCAGACCCCCAAACTATCTTTCTCCCTCTGATTCCAGACTCAGACTCAGACTCAGACTGACTCTCTCCTTTCAAGCTTCGCCTTTTAACATCTCTGTCAGCCCCGCCTCATAACCACATTAACATATAATATGAATAATGCATAACTCATATTGCATAACTTAGGTGAATGCCACAATCATCTATTATCTATTTTTATATTGTCTTCCTTCCTTATGGCTGGTCTTTCACCAAAATAAATATTACTTCTATTCACGTGTCAGAATTCATCTAGAGGAAAATTTTACTTAAAAAAACATCAACCAAGGATGAGAAAAATCTTTTGTTATCCTTTGTTCATGAAAGAGATTTCCCAAGATTGCTCTCCAGTTCATGTGTTAAGAGAAAATGGAAGCACTGGAAATCATTGTGTACAATAGACATAGCTGGGTATAAAAATGACATGCTAATATAAATGCAATTTTTATTTAGGGAGATGATGGTGCCATTGGGTATGGTGGGCCAGGACATAAAGGAGTAAAGGTAAGTTAAAATAACAAAAAATAAATGTTTAATTAATTAATGACTGACTGACTATCTAAACTTTTTTTTTTAGTAAATTGGGCCAGAATCCTTGGGCCAGAATCCTGCTGCTTTTTACACAAACATAAGCAAAAATGAAGATGTTGTGGTGGCTAATTGAAGCTAATTAAAAGTGTGCTGCTTGTGTGCATGGTCACATGCTGATCATAACTGGCACCACACTAATTAGTTTCAATTAGCTGCCATGGCCCCCATGTTTTTGTTTATGTATATGCAAAAAACCCCAGCAAGTATTTGATTGTTACAATTGTAAGTTAGAAAGAAGGGAATTATTGCACAGCTTGTTTCAAAGATACACACACCACTGAAGCAATACCTCCCACTTCTTCCATGCCTTTCAGTTTGACATCAAATGGAGTCATTCAAAACAAAAGCAATGTAGTGGTTTCTGATTATTTGGTTGACTTCTCACAAATGCAGAGATCTCTTTGTCTGTAAGTTATAAGAAATGGGATTTTCGAAACCTTTACAATTGATCGACAAGACCCTGTAGGCTTCTTGGACACACAGAATGTGGTTGGATCACAGATGATAGAGGTTGTTAAACATTTTCATAGAGGAGAAGGCCATAGCAGCTTACATTCAACTGGCAGCCAATACATGTCCATGCATCATCATATGTAGAAATATGATGTGAAAACACATCATGGATGTCTCTGCAGAAGAAGAAATGAACTGACTGCAAGGATTCAGGGCTAGATGAAAGCAGCTTGTGAAATGAAGTATCAGATGTATTCCATTGGAGGTCTAAATAAAAAGCATAAAACAGGGAGTAAAAAAGACTAATGAGAGGGTGGGTAAGCACACGTAAGAGATCTTTGGATGAACCGTAGTTTGATGGAGAGAAAATTGGCAAGTCCCTTTCTCTTTGGAACTTAGAGTGCAATCAGACGATTTAGATCACAATTTGGAGCACTGATGGGATGGTACAGTTTGCTCTATTTGCTGGCAATCAGATGGTGTACTGCGGATCACAAACCAGCCTGATCTTGCTCTGTGCCTTGTCTGGGAGTGGGCGGGTGCAATATTATTGGAACAGGCTGGCGCAGCTGGGACCAGACAGAAGGGTCACTTTAAAGATTGCATCCTGCAAGAGGTACTCTCCAGTGCAATCCAGTGAGATCTTTGTGATATTGTCTGATTGAATACACTTACTGGTGTGCCTTACAGAAAAGATCTCCTTAAAACAGCACCAGATTAAACATGAATAAAACTTGTTTTTATCTTTTGTGAGTTATAGGGGGAAAGGGGATTTCCTGGACCCATCGGACAGAAGGTAATGTACTTCCAAAAATTCCAGTAACAGAGGCTACTCTACTACTGTCAGTGTGTTTTAATCATCTGGAAACTATATGAGCAAAAGTGTGGATGAACAGTCTCCTTGTGGTGAAAGAGAAGCTGTTTAGCTGGCTCTCAATTAAGAACATCAAGATCCTATTTGGGGAATAACTGCATGCTCCAGATCAAAGATATCCTTGGTGCTATCAGTTCATTAGGCACTGGATGCAGTATCTGCCCCTTTCTCTTGTGCTAGGGAAGGCAAGTTCTGGAGATTTAGAGGCCAGTTTGCCACCCTGGAGAGCCATCCAAGATTGCACTGATCTCCATAATAATGCTGAGTCTCTGTAAAGGTGAGATCAGACAGCAGTATAGTTCGCATTTTGGACAACTTGCAGCATGGTCTGACTGGAACTATTATCTAGCATCTACATGACATAAAGGAAATTACAAACCACCCCAAACCTGCTCCATAACTAATCCAGACTCTTTTTGGTCCAGTGGCTTGGCTACTCTTTTTTCACAGCTGGGATGGAGCAATGAGGACTGCATCACATTTGCATGTAAGTGTCACTGTAAAGAGATTGCATACAGCAAAGTGATGCTTTCCAGCATGAACCAGCTTCCCTGCCTGGAAAAAAGATCAATCAACATGTAGCCGCCTAGAGTGGTCTTATAGACCAGGTGGGCAGGGTACAAATCAAATCAATCAATCAATCAATCAATCAATCAATCAGTCAGTCAGTCAGTCAATCAATAAATAGCTGGACAACTATTTTTGATTTCACAAAACTTGATTTTCCTTTCTTAAGGCAGCTTCAACTTATTAAGAAAATGAACTTCCGGTCCTTGAGGCAATATGATGGATTGTGACCGGTGTGTGTGCAGAGTCTAAGAGGATTTGGAGTTGTGGAAGAACCACCCTGGGGCTAGATGTGGCCTATGGCCCTTTATGTTCCCGCCCTGTCTTCCCTCATAGTACACTCTTTGCCATTGTAATCTTTTGTGTCTCAAATAAAAAGCCTGTCAGAGAAGACATCCAATAAATTATTTTATAAACAAATTATGTACAAAAAGTCCTTTCTCGTTGAGCTACTTTTATCTCTGTCTCTGGTCACATTCCCTTCTTGGGCCTCAAACCCAATGAGGGATGGGAGAAGAAATTCATATGGCTCATATATTAATGCAGGCACACTGAATGTCGTAATTTGGAACTAACACATGAACTCGGCTATTCAGAAAAATGTTCTCTGAATTTTACAGTGGAGTTTTCCAGTTAAAAACGAATACAAAAATGTGCATATTGGGGAAAGTGCACACAAAGTGAATGTAAATAAATATGCACATAAAAGATGCCTCTTAGAGAAAATATCATTCCAAATCAAATTACATTCAAAGAATGACATATTAAACATACAGTAAAATTCCTTATAGAAATGTGCACAAGGAAAACTGTCTATACATTGTGTGCAAATTTTCATGAACTGAATACAAAACTGTAAAAATTAGAAACTGGGATTAAACAACATCGAGAGATTTATCTACCTTACTCTTGTGTAGATAGAGGAAGGGCTGTGTTTGCTCTCCCCCCCCCCCAATATTGCCTATGGTCTAAAAATCTTGGGAGCATTCTAGACTCATTTGGATCTTTGCAAATTCATTGCAGACATTGGCTCATGTCTACAAGTCTCCTGTAGTTTCTCCTGAGCTTGTCTTAGAGTGCTAGCAGATGACAGGGAAGGCCTGAATCCAGCTGCACCAGAAAGAGTCAGTTTGCAGGGAGAGATTTCTCTTAAAGTACAGTAATCCCTCCACTGGCAAGGAATTGTTCCAGCCCACCTCTAAAAAGTAGTAGCCTTATAGCTGACCCAAAAAGCCCAGTAGGATTGGGCTAAAGCACAATTCCCCATATGTCATGTGAACACCAATAAATAGATTATATCAGACCACTTCACAAGCAGTCCAAAATGCAGTCTATTTCCCTGTGTGATCACATCCTGAATTGGTAATATGCCTTTGCAACGTAGTAATGTGTTCTCTATTAATTGCAGTGCTTCTCCCTCACAGGGTACTATACGTCTCTAGATGAAAATTCTGTTTTAGCCTTATTCATTTCTAACCTTGCTTCCTAGAGTGCTCTGCAGACAAGATGTGACTTTAATCTTGTGACACTTCTATTGGTTCCCAGTTTCATCTAGAAGGTCACACTTTGCCTGCTGATGCTCAATGATTGCCCACCCCGTTCTAGACTAATAAAAATCAATGCTGTTTTTTTTAAAAATTCCCCAAATTCTGAGCCTAAGCATGGTAGCTGAAGCACCATCTTTTCCTACTGAAAGCTATCTGTTCTTTAACTTCTGCTTTAGAGGTCATGCTTCAGGCTACTTGAAATACAGCAGGACATTGTCATAGAAAGGGCCTTTTTCATGGTGTCATCAAGATTTTGCAACTCATATTAAGATAATTGTAAGGGTTGGGATTTTTTAATGTGGATTACAAATCCCATAATTCTCAATTCTGGAAGTTCTACTTGACATATAGATACTTGTGTGTGATCTGGGAGAAAATGCCTAAACTGGAAAGCTTTATAGCATAACTAGGCCTATCTCCAACCAAGCTTCCTATTCCATGCTGGGAGCTATCTTTCTGAACAGAAATCTAGGAGGAGCTAGGCCTAGCTGGGTCTTACAGCCTTGTAGGTTAGGCCTTTTCTCCCAGATGAGCTTATTTAGGTTTGTGCAAATCAGGCAGAACTCTCAGAATGATGAATTATGGGATTTGTAGTTCAAGAAGTAAAAAAATCTCATTCCTAGTAATTGTACTCCCTGCACAGGTATCTTTACAGACTTTCCACCAGATAGTCAACATTGTTTCATTCAAGTAGGCATTTTAGACATGTAGACCAGCTGTATTGGTTTCTGTGATGGTTGTGCCTTATTTTTGATTCTTCTTATTTATTTCATATTTTTGGTAGGCTTTTGATATTTTTGTTATCGGAGTGCTTTTGTACAAAAGAATGGATACAAACCTCTCGATAAACAAAGAGAAACTTCTAACGATCAATTCCTCATTTATCTATATTGTTTGTAAAATTCTGTTTTTAATCTATTTAATTTAGGGTACTGTTGGCAACAATGGAATACCGGGAGAACCTGGGACAAAAGGGATCCGTGGGCAAGCGGCAAGCAAAACTTTTGTATTCCATCAATATAAAATGCTTTTTAAAAAATCAGATGAATTTGTGGAAAATTTCTCAATATTGGTTACATACTTTAAATCCAATTCATAATTCAGATATAAGGAAGGATTTCAATTTATATCTGCATATCATGGGTACAAATCTGTTTATCTCTTCGAAGTTCTCCTTATCACGAGGGTGTATGTGGTGTAGTAGGTGTGGTGGTGATTTTAGGATGGATTGGGCACTGATTGAAAGTTCCTCTTTTGCCATTAAGCACTCTGAACAACTGGGACTGGTGAAATTAAAAGTACCTTGCAAAATGAAGCAGTGATAGCATGCAGGTAGAGAAAAACAAGTCTAAATTCCTCTTACCATGTAGAATCATTTGTACAGTTCTTTAAATGGTAGCTACGAATCAGAATTACGCTCGTTTTCAAATATTCATACAGTATTGACAGTCACATCAGAATTAGTAACTTCAGTTACTTACTGCTGTCCAATAGTCTCACTGTTGGCATCGTACATTTTTTCTGTAGTGCAGAGGTTGTGGCTATGAGTACTTTTAAAGGCAACATCATTCCTGTCATGTCATTGTTTTTAGGGCCCTGAAGGTTCTGCTGGCCTGAAGGGGACACCAGGAGATCATGGTCCTCCAGGACGCAAGGTAAGCAAATCTTATCACAGTTCCTTTATTTATTTTAATTAATTAGATAAACTGCCCAGTTAGTAAACTCACACTACTCTGGGGAGTCTAGGTAAAGGTAAAAGGTAAAGGTTCCCCTTGACAATTTTGTCCAGTCGTGTCCAACTCTAGGCGGCGGTGCTCATCTCTGTTTCCAACTCATAGAGCTAGCATTTGTCCACAGACAATCCTCCGTGGTCACGTGGCCAGAGTGACAAGACATGGAATGCCATTTACCTTCCCACCGAGGTGGTACCTATTTATCTACTCGCATTTTTGCATGCTTTTGAACCGCTAGATTGGCAGGAGCTGGGACAAGTGACGGGAGCTCTCTCCGTCGCGTGGATTCAATATTACGACTGCAGGTCTTCTGACCTTGCAGCACTGAGGCTTCTGCAGTTTAACCCACAGGTTTCCTTTGTGAAACTGCATTTGCATGAAAAAAATAAGTTATGGGGGAAACAAAGCACAGTGCAATAACAATGAGAAGCTTCAGTGCTTTGGATAGTTTTCTCCTTTCCGTGTCACCACAGCAAATGCACATACTATTTTCCTGTACTGGGTTATGCTGGAGACTTTTTCCTACAATCAGGCTTCTTTGTTTCTTTTGCAGGCTATTCTCTAAATAAAAACTGACCCTTTTCAGGGTATCCTATGTAGAGAGTACTCAGAAGTACTCTTCTGCGGGTGACCTTGGACTGTGCAGCTTGTCCAAGGCCCCTCTGACTCTTCTCCCAGGAAGCACAGTAGGAAATTAAACTCCCGACTTCTAGTTCTGTCCTCAGATACCTCACTGAGCTATCTGGCCAGTGAGTTCTTCACATATGTGGGAAACTTCTGCTTAAAGGTTGTAGCTGCATTCTGTCCCAGTGACGTGCATACACTCCTGGCAGGAAGCGGCAGCTGCCAGCAGGCGGGGTAACCCCTTATTCTCCCCTTTCGCTTAGAGGTAGAGCATAAGGGGTATTTTAGCCAATCCTGGTTACAATTAGGTAACTAGTATCCTATCTGTTCCTCTCACAAAATACTATGTAAATCATGCTAAGTAAATAAAAGAGCTCTCCAGGAGTTGCCTGTAGGCTCCGCCGGCTCGGACATCTGTTGTCGACTCCTTTGTTCTCTCTCTAAGGCAATTAGCCTTCCTTTGTTCCGTGATCACCCATACACATACACAAAGGGACATCTTCACACATGCCATACTTTGTGTATTTGAGGTCCAGGTTATAGAGTCTGTTGGGCTTAAGAATGTGTGCTTTATAAATAGGTTGTAATTGTCAAAACTAAGAACTTCATTATACTGTTAGATACTGTTTTGCCAATGAGAGCACCAGACACTTTTTAATCTTCCAGTGATGCAAGACCCATTAGTTCTTTGAGCCATGTGTTCATGGAAGAGTGAAAAATACCAATAAAGGTGTATATTGGTGCAGCCATTCTCAACCTTTTTTGGCCACAGTCATAAACACAATTTGAAAGAAATATATGCTAAATCAGAATTGCGAAGTCACATAACAAACCTTATAAGATGGTCTGTGAAGAATTGTTTCCCTTCTTGGGCCTGTGGCCCCCTTGAAATGTGCCAAGACCACCCGGGGAACCATATGGCCACTATTAAGAATGGTTGGGAGAGTTGGCATGACTTTAAATAATGTTGAATACCGAAATGCGTCATCTCATAATTTTATGTATAAGAACATAAGAAGTGACAGAAAACAAGAAGCCAACAGATCAAATTGCTGTACAGAATACTAACGTTTTGTTACAGTTCTCTCAACTTTCAGCCTTATAAGCAATTGTAATTATGCACAAAAACAATTTTGTTGCAATTTATGCAACAGTAATCTGTTACGGTTCTTTCTTATTTTCAGGGCGTTAAAGGAGCCAAGGGCGGTGCTTCCCTTTCAGTATGTATTCGTTGTAAACATCTAATTTTTTCAGAAAGTTTCTCCAAAACAGCTCTTTGATCACTCAACCTTTATTTTCTTCTCCTGCAGCCATGCAAGCTCATTGCTTATATTCGGGAACACAGCTGTAAGTACTGATTACCCAACAACAGTAGCCTTGCGCTTGTGCACTCACTGGTGCATGAAGGGAATCATGATCATATTGTGATAGCTGCACAGTCTTTGCTGTCATGGGCAACATGCAAGTCAGTGTTTGTTCTTCACAGAATAAAGGGAAACTGCTACCAATTAGGTATTGGTGTAAATATGTAAGTGAATACACAGCAAATCCCCCTGACTTTAATGGGACGTACTTCCAGGCAAAACTGCTACCAATTAGGTATTGGTGTAAATCTGTAAGTGACTTTAATGGGACGTACTTCTAGGCACGTGACTATATGATCACAGTGTAAGGGTGTGAGCACAGGAACATATAGCTTACACTTTGCACCACTTGTGGTGTGGTCTGGTATGAGCTATTTCCCAGCAATCACATAATGTACTGGCAATAGTACTCTAGCCTGACTGCAATCTGTGCCCAAGCTGGACTTTTCTGGTCCAACAATAGGGCTATTATATTTGTGGCCAGGCTGGAGTGATTCCTCAATGGATTAAAGAGTCACTTTAAAGGAGGATTAAAGAGTCACTTTAAAGGAGACTGCTCCCTGCAATGTGCAATCTGATATTCACCTTCTTGGCTGTCTGATCGCACCCTAAATAAATTTGTTTCAAGAAGAGTTTAAAAATTTGGTAGCAGATGAGCCAGCTTTGGTGGACTGAACAACCCTAACTTCCTAACAAACATACATGCTTTCTCTGCTTCTCTGCTCTTTCTTCCTCTACTTTTTCTTTTTTTACTGATTTTGATCTCCCTCCACCCCTCTTACACCCTTCTGGTGTTCATTCAGCCTTCCATTTACTTACCTGCTTCCTCACGTATTCTGGGCAACAGGAATCTCTCTATGTGCATGTTGCAGAATTCTGGACCCTGCAGAATTTAAACCTTTGATTGCTTAAAAGGCTTTGTGGGGGGAAAAAGAATGTCCCAGCCCTGCCTCTAACATTTTCTTTGAAGGAGATTAGTGTTTAAAAGCGGTACTGCAGGCTGCAAATTTTAAGTCACTGAAACCCATCAGCCCATCATTTTGGAAACTGAATTGTCTTGAGATGCACAGCAGCAAGAACCCCTTAGTGTTCATGTCATGTTTCAGATGGCTATATTTTACGGCCTTGGAGCTATGCTGGAAACAGACACTTTCAGTACTTGTATCATTTTGAAATGCCATTTTTTCTGCCTATATCCACCTTTACTCAGTTCCCACCTCAACAATGTATATTGTATATAAACCTGTGACTCAATATTTTACTCCATGCATCAAAGGAATGTTGTGATCTACAAAAGCTCAGTAAAGAGCAAAAAAAGAAAACAGTTACGTGGTTCTCATACACAATTTGAAGACAAGGATGGTACCATTATTAGACCAATAAAATCATAAAAAGAGAGGCTAGTTTTTGATTCCTACAGTAGTCTTCAACAGGCTGGGATTTACAGAGCTGGGCGTGGCACAGGAGAAACACATACATTCCAAAAATTCATGGCCCCATGTGTGGGCTAGGTCTATTGTTTAAATGGGGGCTACAGAATCAGGTCAGAAGTGGAAGTTTCAGATTTCACCTGTGGCGATGTAGATTATAATGTCCTTCCGAATATATATATATTTTTACAGGGAACTGCAGTCATTGAGCTTGTCTGCTTTTTCTACACCACCCTCAGCCCTGTAGTCCTTGGCCTAACAAAGACTCTTATGGGAGCTGAAAGCTAGCTGCTGTTTTGAGATTGTAAGGGTCTAAAACATATCAAGCTGGCTGGATAGCTCAGTGGTTTAGGTATCTGGCTGTGGAGCAAGAGGTTGAGAGTTCAATTTCCCACTGTGCCTTCTGCAAGTACAACCGGCCTGGGTGGCCTTGGGCAAGCTGCACAGTCCCAGGGTATCCCCAGAAGAAGGGAATGGTAAACCACTTCTGAGTATTCTCTACCTGGAAAACCCTGAAAAGGGTCATCATAAGTCAGAATTGACTTGATGGCACATTGTTGTTATTATTTATAAAGGTACCATCTACTTTTGTCTTTAGGCTGACATAAAGCAGTCTTTAAACTGTCCTAAAACTTTTGTTTTTATCATATAAGGAGAAACACATTTTTGTTCGTACAGATTACACACTTTTGTTGGTGTGCATCAGAAAGTGGTCCTCTATATGTTGTTGGCCTGAAGCTCCAAGCAGATCTAATCAAACACAGGCAGTACTAGATGAGGAGTGTTGAAAGTTGCAATCCAACAATGTCAGGGGAGCCATATGTTCCCTGTCCTGCCATAGATGAATGCACATGGAAACATTTATTTTGGAATGATAAAATCAAGATAGTTGTTTTTTGGAAGAGATCTATGAGCAGAATACAAGTTGGCTGCCGTATCTGGCCCACTTCTGAAAACACCAGTTCAAGTCCAAAGCAGTATGTGTGATGAGCATCCAACTCTAGGAACAATTCCAAAACACTCCAGCAAGAGAGGAACAAGTGGCATCTGACGCAGGCAGACCTTATCGTGTTCCCTGAAACACTCAGTGAAGTTTGGGTCTAGGTGGGCTGATTGCAGCACTGATCAGTGCCTGAGCTGTATAAATATAATGGGAATGGCGTTTTCATCAGCGGAAGCCCACTGCAATGAAGCACATGATCCACTGAGAAAAGTTATGTTCCCCTCCCCTCCAACTTTTGGAAAATGTAATTTTTATGCAGTACTAATAGAAACCTACAGCCAACATGGCCAGCTTGGGAAACAGCGGGTTGTAGTCTAAAAAACTAATTTTTCCAGTGCCTACCTTCTATGTCACTGCTCAGATCATGTGATCTTAGCTTACTCTGTTGTTGTGTCAAAATTCGGCTTGTTCACTTTTCACTGTGAGCAGAAATGTCTGCACCAGGAAATAAAAACACCTTATTGGTTAGCTTACTCTGTTGTTGTGTCAAAATTCAGCTTGTTCACTTTTCACTGGGAGCAGAAATGTCTGCACCAGGAAACAAAACACCTTATTGGTACAGTGGTGCCTCACTTGACAATGTTAATTCATTCCAGCAAAATCAGTGTAGAGCGAAAACGTCGTCAAACGAAATTAAAAAACCCATTGAAACGCATTAAAACCGGTTAATGTGTTGCTATGGGCGGTCAAAATTCAGCTTGTTCACTTTTCACTGGGAGCAGAAATGTCTGCACCAGGAAACAAAACACCTTATTGGTACAGTGGTGCCTCACTTGACAATGTTAATTCATTCCAGCAAAATCAGTGTAGAGCGAAAACGTCGTCAAACGAAATTAAAAAACCCATTGAAACGCATTAAAACCCGTTAATGTGTTCCTATGGGCGAAATACCTAATAGTCCAGTGAAGATCCTCCATACAGCAGCCATTTTCGGGTACCTGTCTTGCGAAAAATGTCTCCTAAAAACAGTGGGGAGCCATTTGGAGCAGCTGTTTTGATCATCATAATGCGAAGAATCGATTCCCGAAGCAGGGAACCAATCATCGCAAAGTGAAAACCCCTCATTAAAACATCATTTTGTGATCGCAATTGTGATCACAAAAATATTGTCCTGAAGCGGATTCATCATTATACAGGGTAATCATTAAGCGGGGCACGACTGTACTAGATTTATCTCTTAAAGTTCCTAGTATCTTTGCTGCAATCAATAACCCACTAATTCATATTTAAACTCAGCCATTCAGACCCAGATTGAATTGCTGTTTGCTCTGTATATCTTTGAGTACCTATAGCATTCAAGATTGCATTCCAATTCAGAGTGATGAGTTGTAAAATTAACAAATAATTTACAAATAATTAATGTTGGTGATAACATTTAGAAGAGATATTTAAGTATTGGCTACATAATAATTCTATATTGTTTTTTCTCTTTGGTTTAGCTTGCTACAAAGGTAAGTACTTAGCACTACTTAAATGTCCCTGTGTTCTGTAGAAGGCAAGGTTAAACCAAGTGCTGCTTCTCAGTAGTGTTGCAGTGGTAAATTTGGAAGTGCAGGCACTCATTGTGACAGTTTCCACCCCTGGATAGTCCAGAAATGCAGGCCACTGGATCAGTCCATATCAATAAATGAGGATTATGTCTTTTGTAACATTAATGGATTTTACTCTCCCTACTCCAGAACAAACCATGCTAAAATATCTTTCATTACAACAGCGACAGTTTGCAACAGTTCACTGTTCCTTAGAAATTTGATTTCTGTTGCAGCTACCCTGAAGACTGTAGACAAGCTTAAAGGAAACTAGGATGCCTGGGGGTGGGGTTTTGGCTCTGCAAGTGGTCTTCATTATGCCATTGCATCTCGCTGTGCGGCCATGATGGCATCATGATGCTGACTCTCTGTATCAACTACTCCATGCAATGATCATTTTGTGCATATCAACTTACCATATGGAAATGTCTGGGGATGAGTCTATGACTGGACTCCACAGTGCCATCTGGCAGTACTAATAGCAGTTTGTGGTAGTATCATGGTAAACCATATAAAAGAAGTGGAGAATATGTATGCCTCCAGATGCTGGTGAACTGCAGGTCCCATCATGCTTCTGTAATGGCAATGTTGGCTACAACTAAGGAGAGGTACAAGCCAATAACCTCAGGAGGTCCACAGGTTGCCCACTCGCTTGAGTTCTCCACTTAGAGCAGCATGCTTTATGGAATGACCACCATACTATGAAACTGGCCATAGAGTATATCTTTAAGATGGTTCCACCGATTTAAGGAAAGCTAAGGGACTTTAGCTTATGCAGTTCTATTTTATTGAAAAGGTTTATAGCCTGCTTGTTGAAACATGAAAAAAAAACACATTACAATACCTCATAAAAACAGCAAAATGATAAACAATAAGATTTTTTAAAAAATGCTTAGGAATTTCTCTTGGGCACTCTGGATTCACAGGTGCATTTGATGGGGACATGGGAGAGGACCTTCTCTGTCGCTGCACCCAAACTCTTGACCTCCCTCCCACAGGAGGCCAGGTTGGCCCCATCTTTGCTGTCCTTCCACAAGCAAAGACCTTTCTTTTCAGGCAGACGGTCCCCTAGTGAATAGCTCTTTAAAAGGGGTTTTTTAAATGGAGTGTTTGCCTTGTTTGTTTGAATCTCTTTTTGGTGTCGATTTTGTTTTTAGTATGGGATTTGTTTGATGCTTTAAAATAATTTACATACTTACTGTTTTTAGCTTTTAAATGTTGTCTATTAATTATGTAAACCACTTTGGGTCCTTTTTGAGGAGAAAGGTGAAATATTTCAAATAAAATAAAATAATTGAACAAGTAGATTTCAGCTCATTTTCTGAATGATAAAAGAGTGGTGCCACTGTTATTTCTGGAGTGTGTTCTACACGTGGTGTGCCATCACTGAGGGGCCCCCTTCTTATTTAACAAATGATTTCGCCCAGTCGGAGGCACCTGGAGAAAATCTTAAACTTTGATCTTAAATTTTGGACATGGAGATATAGGATCTGCACGATCCCCAGAGCTCTGGTGGCCATTTTCCTAGTCCCTGGACTCCGTACGGCCTCCGGTCCTTCTGGATAAAACAGAAAGTGACCAGAACATGTCTTCCAGTTTTGTTTTGTTTTTAAAAAAACCAAACCTGGTCGAATAATAAAATGTAGATATCCCCACACACCCACACACCTTCTGCATCAATTGTATCTAGGTGCAATTCCCCCATTTTGGTTAAGTCTGAAAAATTGCATGAGAATAATTTTTTTCCCAGGGAGCCATAAAAACAGGTTTGGGGCTGTATGTAGACCATAAATCACATTATTCCAACCCCGGTATAGGAGAAGATAGCATTTCAAATATTCTGGTACCAAGCCATTTCGGGGTTCAAAGGTTGAGATCAGCACCTTGAGTTGAACAGAGAAATTCAGTGACAGCTAGTGTGGAGATTTGAGATTGATGTGATATAGTCGCCCAGAGACCTTTTGGTAGTGTGGGTGGCATATAAGTTAAATAAATATAGTCAGAATGGAAGTTCCTGAATTGTATCAAGATTAGTCCCCTGTATAATTCCTACTGGTAATCTAGTTTAGTAGAAGACACAGATAACTGTTACAAGAGGTTCTGCAAATGATATAAATGGGTGAAAATACAATGTATTACTTGGAAATACTATGTGCTAGATCTGGAAGCACCCCCAAGCTGTGAGCTGGTTTTCGTCTGACTAATACTGTCATGCCAGAGTAACAAATTTCAGACTAGGTATGTATCATATCATAAATCATCTGCTTCTTGACATTTCATAGCCTGCATGATAAGCTGTTTGCTGTTTTGTTCTAGGAACACCAGAATGCCCCGCATATCCCACTGAATTAGTATTTGCCCTGGACGTCTCGCAAGACACCACCCACCAGCTCTTTCAACATATGAAGAAGATTGTCATAGAGACTGTGAATGGTATCAAAATCAGGGAGAGCAATTGCCCAGTGGGAGCCAGAGTGGCCATTGTGTCCTACAGCTCTGATACCCGCTATTTGGTCCGCTTCTCGGAATTCCGCAGCAAGAGCCGGTTGCTCCAAGAAGTCAATGCACTTTCATACCAGAGATCAACAAGCAGACGGGACCTTGGTGGGTCAATGAGATTCGTTGCCAGGAACATCTTCAAGCGAACTCTCCAGGGTGACAACGTGAGGAAAGTTGCTGTGTTTTTCAGTAATGGCCAATCTGTCAATCCAGTTTCCATCAACACAGCAGTTATTGAGTTCAGTGCATTGAACATTGTTCCAGCAGTCATTGCTTTTAATAATATCTTGGACATCAATCAATCCTTTGCGGTGAGGAAAAATATTAGCTTCTACTTCTTTTGCATTCAGTAATTATGTTTTGCTTTATATTATTGGCAGCTATAAGTCTATTCTTTATTTTAAAATTAAATCTTAATAGCAAGAGGTATGAAATAGCACATTTTGGTATCTGCTTTTCTACTGTATGCAGATTATTTGGCATAGACATATATCACAAAAATGTATTTCTGAAAGTAGGGAACACAAAACGTGCTAGAGAGTAGGGTGAGGGGAAAAACTGAAATTCTTTGTTCGCATCGATCTAAGCTGACATGATACAATAATACACATGTAGGAATGGACCATTTAAAAATGGGAAGGAAGCTTGTCTTTACTTCATGTTGACAGCACATATCACATTAAATTTGGCTGTCATGATATCTTAAACATAGTTCAGAAAAGTAACATTTTAAACTGCTGATGCCAGAATCCCCACTGACTGTGCTGACTTCGGGGTTTGGAGAGTTGCAGTCTAAAAATCTAACTTCAAGCTGTGGTGCCAAACCAGATCTAAGTGAAGGCAGTGCTTCCTACCCTCATCCCAATGACTATGGGGGCTAAAGGCAATCACTTGGGCCAGATGTATTACAGAGTACAGTTATTTGTGCTGCCTTAGACCATTGGTAAGGAGGGGGCTTTATTGTTCCCCACCACAAATTTGCCAAAATGTGTCTTCCAGCCTGCAGACAGAGTAGCAAACATGGGACACACCTTGGTTTGATATTAATTATCTGGAGGGAAAATAGTAAATTAGAAATATCTGTGTATGTCTTGGATTTTGAGCAAAGCATTTTCCTTGGTTGCAGTAACTGTGTGCGTAGGCACACACACAAAGACCTTTAGAGAATATACTTTACCTACTCTCTTAAGCTTTCCCCCGTCTTTTCTCCCCCAGATGGATGATTCTGGACAGTATCAAGTCATTGCCTTTCCAAGCAAGGGAGATTACACAACATTTTTACATAAGCTCCAGTTGTGCACCCTTTGTTATGGTATGAAACATATTTTGCTCATCATTATACTTGGCAGAAGATAGCTGGATAGCTCAGTGGTTTAGGTATCTGGCTGTGGAGCTAGAGGTTGGGCATTCGATTCTTCTCTGTGCCTCCTCGACAGGGTCTGGACTTGTTGATCTAGTGGGTCCCTTCCAGATCTGCAGTTCTAAGGCTATTATATTATTATAATATAAAGCTGTATGCCTGACAGAGCATGGCAGGAGCTGTAATGAATGGTTACTTGAGTTTCAATCCCAGTTTTTATCAACTGTGGGGCTCACATTTTCCCAGATTATACTTACCAGTTTTGATCTACCAACATTTCTTTTAAATGGGAGTTAATGGGGGAAAGGATAAGAAAGGTATATATTGGTGACGGACATGGACTATTGTTTTGGTGGTTCATGCTGGTTCATACTTCTTCTGAACAGATATTTGACACTTCTCAGCCCTGCCTCCTCCAGTGGGCACCCGCTCAGAGGCAGCGCACTAGTTTCCCTGCCCCTCCTCCAGCAGGCACCCGCTCAGAGGCAGCGCACTCGTTTCCCTGCCCTACCTCATCGAGGCACTGCTTCTGAATGGGCCCCCTGCTGAAGGAGGCATGGCTGGGAAGTGCTGAACACCTGTTCAGATGAGGTATAACCAGCATGAAGCATCAAACTTCCAACATTTGGGAGGGTGTTGAATTTAGCATTGCTTCAGATGGCCTAATCTTGATTTAGGTGACCACCAGCCATCTTAGATAGTTAAGATTGTGCTCTTACATAGTGAATGTAAATTTGCATGATCACCATGTCATGATATGTTGCCTTTAAGGGTTTAAAACTGGTATATCCCCCACCAGCCATCTTAGATAGTTAAGATTGTACTCTTACTTAGTGAATGGTCAATAAATTTGCATGATCACCATGTCATGACATGTTGCCTTTAAAGGTTTAAAACTGGTATATCCTTTCTAAGCATACCAGAGACAAAAGGTTGGAATTTTTCACGTAAAATAGGGGGGGAAATAGCATATAGCTTATCATCTAGATTCAGTCCAATCAAACTGAGATTAGAGAAGACAGACAGCAGTGTTGCTATGTGCCCTTCACATTTCTCTTTCAAATTCAGATTAAGTTTCATCAATTCATCTACCCAAACAGCCTGTGTTCTGGAATTAGAGAATCTGAAGGAATTTTGCAGTTTTTAAATCATATCTCTGGTGGTCCTGCCATTTTCTCGGTAAACCATGTGCTCATCTGCTAGACCTTTAAAAACCCAATTCCTAGCAGCTGTATTCTTGTCTTGCCAAGCAGCCCTTTGTAATGAACATCTGCTGGTGCATTACTATTCAGGCAAGCCTTCTTTTAAAAAGTTCTCACATGTGTCTCTAAGCTTAATTCCTGTCTTGAGAAATTATTAGCTATAAGTCTTGGTAGATTTCCTGAAGAACATCTACTGTCATTAACGTCCATCATTTGAACTCTGAGCCAAAACAGTCATCCTAATTCTTCAACCAAACATGCATTGGGGGTGGGGGGAGAAAACCACAGTGCAACACCTAACACTTCAACAAATGCTCAAAAAATATTTGCTGGATTAATCAGTATCCTTATTACTGCTTGTTGGGCCCCATAACCTATTGGATGAGATTTGTAATAGGAGCAAGAATATCTTTAATTCATCTTTAGAATTAGAGTTAGAATTTATAACAAGTTTCCCAAAGCAGTCCCTTACCCAGATACTATTATTCTCTTGTGGGAAATTGTTTCTTTCCTTGTTTGTTGTGACAGGGAAACAGAAATAGCCATTTAGCAGAGTTGTAGAGCAAAGTGGAAGACTGTGCTGCTTTTCGGATCACCTTTTTGTGTTCTGGAACAGTCTTGTTTTTTTCTTTCTTCCCCACTCAGCTTACTTTATTAACCTTTGCTGAAATGTCACACTATGAGGACTGAGTCTGTGAGTATGCAAAAATTCTTGCAATACAGACATTGAGTGGATAGGTCACACAGTTGGGGTATTAAGATCTGTCTTCACACACCACTTGCTCTTTTTCCTTCTCTGTTTTTAACTTTTTGGTGCAGTGTTACAAATATCTACTATTGCCTTCTAGGATTCTGGCTGCAAAGCTAACATCTACCAGGTCCCTGGAAAAGAATGGTGGTGTTTGGGCCTCCACTTTGTGGGAAATTGTTTTGTTGCTTGTTTGTTGTGACAGAGAAACAGAAACAGACAGATAATGTCACAGACTCCAGACAAATAGCATGAATGTTTCTTACAGAGGGTACAGGATAGGGCAGTTCCAATTTGTATTCCCAGTATTCCAGAACAAAGTATTTGGGACGGAAGCCTTCTGCACATGTCCAGGAAATATCCTGAATTCTCTCTTTTATTTTCAGATAAATGTAAACCAGATGTAGCTTGTGCCAGGAGAACTCAGCCACAGGAGGCATACGTGGATGCCGTTTTCATTTTGGATAGCTCACAGAAGATTGATCCTCGTGAATTTGAGAAGATGAAGGACTTCTTAAGTAGCTCACTTGATCACTTTGATGTCTCCTCTGAGCCTGCAACGTCTTCCGTAGGTGACAGGATAGCTTTGGTGAGCCATGCCCCACCAGCTTTTCAACCCCACCTTCAGAATTCTCCAGTAAAGGTAGAGTTCGACTTGATAACATACCGTGAGAAAGAGGTGATGAAAAAGCATATCCAAGAATCTGTTCAACAGCTGGGTGGAGTAGTCGCAGTCGGTCATGCCATCCAGTGGACTATTAACAATATTTTCTCCGAAGTCCCCAGCCCAAGGAAACACAAGATGATCACTGTGATATCTGCTGGGGAAACAAGCCCATGGGATAAAGAGTTATTAAAGAAAATTTCTCTGAGGGCCAAGTGCCAAGGCTATATCCTCTTGGTTCTTTCTCTGGGACCGACCTACAATCACACTGAACTTGAGGACCTGGCAAGTCTACCTTTGGAGCAACACTTGATCCAGCTTGGCAGAATTCATCAGCCTGAACTGAAATATGCCCAGATGTTCCTCAAAGCATTTCTACACCTTCTTCGGAGTAAGTTTTGGAAATACGGTTTTCAAGAGCTCCTTTTTAAAAAATCAATAGAGTTTCTTTCTCATGTTTAGAAACAGATTACTATGAGTACTGTGATCTTTCATTCTGGAACTTGGAAGTTAGGGGGCTTTCTGAACTTCAATTTCTGGAATTTCCCAGTCACTGTAGTCAGTAGGACAACTGGTTGAGGGATTTTGGAAGCTGTTGTCCAAAAGATAACTTTTCCAAGTTCTTGTTCTTTGTGCGCAGGCCAGAGATTGCATTAGCAGGGCCAAGAAACATCAGGATAGCAGAGCAACCCAATCTTACTACTTTCTACAAGCAGAAAAGGGGTCCAGCCACCCGCAGTTTTCACTTTACCTCTGGCAGTAAGAGGAGTCCATACTCCACATTTCACTGTGGGAGTACAGGGTCACTCCTGTGCATGAATCAGCACATGGGCACAGTATGGAAACCCATTTGCATGGTCTTCTGTTGTGGAGAAATAGAATCCACACTTTTTATGGTATAAAGAGAAAGCCAGAACCCCAAATTATAGGGAGATGGTTCCACATATTGAAGTCACACATGCAAAGCACACACTAAATGGCAAAGTATGGTAAGTTAAATGCTCCTTATTTTCCAGTCTCCCAATTCAGTTTCATTTCATGAGCTACTATTGGTTCTTCTCTTACTTACATAAAAAGTCTATTTCCCTCTTTCTTGTTATAAGCATTCTTCCTCTCCCCTTGCCCGTTCCTTCTTTTCCTTCTTTTCTTCCCTAAAAGGAAGTTACCTGTGTATTAAAGAGAAGTGTCTTTCTCCTGCTGTTAAATAACTATTTTCTACATGCCCTTCAGAATTGTCTTCTGCATGTTAAATGCAGAATCTCCAGTATGAGTGAGGACTAGGGACAGGTGAGAAAGCCTATTGGCATTTTAACGTGACACTGCACCTCCTAGGACTCCATTTTCAACAATAAACCTTTATTGGCATACAGACTCCATTTTCATTTGTAGGGCATAGGGGGAATTTTAAATTAGGGATAAAAGCCTGTGGCTGATGATGTCATCAGCCTTATGTGGACACAGTTCCCACTAGTCGATTTTAACTTGTTACTTACTACCACTATTCATTAGGGACAAATGGTTTTTCAAGAGTTACTTAAAAAGGCCACCCCTTGGTTTTGCCCAAAGAAACAGTTTCATAATAACTAATGGTACTAAGTATGCAAAAAAGAGAGAGGTTGCATTGATCATATTCTCACTGAAATGGTAAAAAATAAGTGTTCCAGTTTATTACTCACAAATATGTGACCTCTAAACTCTGGAATTCCCCTTTTGAAATAACACTTCCAGAAAACAAATGTTGCTTTTCATTTCAAGTGTTGCTTCCACAGATTCAAACATGTTTTAGTGCTTTCCATGACTAGTATTACTGTATGATTAAAGCAAAAACAACAAAAAATTCTAATTGTGCCTAAACCACCAAAAAAGCATTACAACACCTGAAGCTTGCAGAACCACATTTTATAAATTTTATTTCTGTTTTTTTTGTCACAGCAGATAAAACCAATGATTATCCACCTGTTGAACTCAAAGCAAAATGTACCAAGATCATGCATCAAAGAACTAGATATGCATCAAGGAGTCTCAGTCTCGTGTAAGTCTGGTTAATTGTTCCTGAAGGCTAACTAGCCCAATACTCCTTATTCACAAGTGTGGTTTTTGTGGGAGGGCAAAAGGCCTCACTGCATTTCCTGTAAGATCCCTATCAGTGTAATATGGAGTCATGTCAGGAATATGGGCCATCCCATAATGTTTCAAAATCTGGGTTCCCTTTTAGGGGCGCCTGGAAATATGACAAAATGTGTTTTATAACTTTGTTCTGATATCTATGTCTTGAAATGATGGAATATTTAATCTGCAGGTTTTGTTTGCCTCCCAAGATGAGTTACTTCTACAAAATAATTTAACATGATTCATGGGTTCATAGACAGACTGGCTTTCTGGTCATTTGGAACAAAATTGAGGGAACAAAAAATAACATGCCAGTCATCTGAGAAGAATGTTGATGTGGGAATAAGTAACAGATGTAGTCCTCTCTGATTATGGAAAAATTGTCTCTAAGATTATAATTTGTATTACCTCAGACCATTTTCAGGAGGTAGCAAAAGGATCCCCCAATATTATAACTGTATCTACAAAAGCATTCCTAATACTGTAACATTAAACTATCCTCCTTTTTTTGGTCTACATATCTTAATTTTATTCAACATAATGTTCTTCAAGAATCTGCATGCTGCTTTAGAAGAGATTTGGACTACAAGCCCCAGAATTTCCCAGGCAGTATAGTTGATTGGGGATTTGTGGGAGTTGTAGTCTAGCACACACACCCCAGATCTGGTAAAGAATACAAACTAACTTCAGTAAAGTAGAAACGCCTTGTGTTTTCGAGGTAGCTAGCAAAGCAACGTGTTTTGCTAAGTTTTATGTGTCTTGCAAAGTAAGAAGATGCTAATAATTAAAATCTTCAAGTTTCAGTACACCTATTTTCTTTTCATAGTGTTGACTAGTTCTTAAAGCTTTAATGATTTTGACCCCATTTAATATTTTTACTAATAACAGGGTGCATGTGCTCATTTTTTCGGTGACAAAGATGACTTACACATTGTTTCTGATTATTAATACACATGTTCTTCAGTTCCCAGTATATTGATTCAGGTTCAAATACTGTACAGGGAAATACTGTAGAACCATAATTAGTTATGTTTCATATTTTTAATTGATCTGGGTATGGTCCAACTCAATGACCTACTGTTGGCACATCTACTTGGCAAAAGGAGCCCTGCAAGTTAATTCCAACTTGCCTGTTGATGTTTCTTCCAAAATGTGCTTTTGATCATTTTTCAGATGATTGAGAAAGAGAAGCATAATCCTAGCATCAAAAGAAGATGAGGAAATTTCTTTAGAAGAGATCAATGGCAGTTTTGGAAAACATTGTTTCAAGTTGCATCAATTGGTGTCACTTGCCTATTTCAAAGAGGGACCAAATATTTGCTCCTTCGGTGGGCGTTACAGGAAGAAACAGGATGTAGTACCTGAAGTCCATGGAACAACTGCCATCCTTTTCATGTTTTTAGAGACATGCATGTAGTCTACCATTTTTAATAAGGTTCTGTCTTTGGAAGAACACTGACCTTGTTTCTACCTTCTACAAATATTAAAAAGAATGCCTGAAAGAGTCTATGCATTTACAGCTTGTATAGGCAGAGGTGTTTCAGATGTGCAAAAGGTGGTGCAGCCAGGAGGTGTGAGTATGCTCCTGTTCCCACCTCCGCTCACATTCAGACAGAGCAAGGCTTGAGCCAAGCAGGGCTCCATCTACTTTCACTTGTACACCCCACTAGCACTAGCAGTCGGCCATAACACATACAGCATAACAACATAACAACAGCTTTCATGGCCTAACATCAAGTAGACTGGGCTAAGTTATGACTACTGTCTAGTGATTACCACTCACTTACCATTATAAAATTTAATTCTACTCTTAAAATCAGTTCACCAAATGAATATACAAACTCATATTAAGATATAATTTCTCATTTTAAATTACCATGTTGACATATATGTATCTTGGCTTGCTGTCTGATGCAATGTTGGCCAGCATTATGGGGCCATCTTACATGAAAACATTCCATTTCATTTAAATAAAGGAGACAAGATAATTGTACATGTTAAATTTAATTAATTTCAACGGGAACTAAGTACAAATACCTTTGTCTGGACTCCCATGGAGAACAAAGGAAATTTGTTGTTTGAATATTCTACTGAATATTCTGCAGAAAACAGTCAGTGTATTAGTAAAAATCTAAAATGTTCTGCAATGACCTTTCTCATTTCTGAAATGTTTGGTTGAACAATATTGACAGAACTGTATTAAACTGCCAGTTATCAACACTGATTTTGTGTTTGGCACTTTAAAGAGCTCTGGGTTTATAAAGGCACATGGTGTGCTCTATGGCATTTTTAATAAACTGAGATACTTTTGTTTCCTATATTTATGTTGTTTATTTTTGCTGACTAAGCATGGATTTGTACATATTCCTTCCTTATTTCTTCCTGTTTTCCACTACAGATCTTGTTATCCCTGCACTAGATTGCAGTGGTGTTATTGTGCAGCAGAGCAAATCACAATTCTATAAGGCAATTCTAAAAAATGGGGACAGCACAAATAAAAATGGGGACAGCACAAAAAAAAATCTTATCTTGATAACATTTTGACCAAAGTTTGGTCGAAGTGTTTTCAAGATAAGATTTTTTAACAGTAAAACTGCTTTAT